ACCCCGTTCTGTGTTTTATGTATATTCTTATATGCATAATGTGTGTATGAACTTTACTTGGATTCGTGTTTGAGTATATGTGAGTGAGTACGTATTCTAGTGTGTATGTTTAACTATATATATGTGTGTATGTGTATGTTCGTGTTTGTGTGTCAACCTTCGGACACGAAGAGGACAATGGCGTACAACGACGACGACGACGATAATGCCGGAATTTTGAATGAAATATGTCCTCCTTTTTCTTCTTCCTTTCTCTTTCTTTCTTTTTCTTAAAAAAAAAAAAAAATGCAAGAGAAAGAGCTTTCGAAATTCCAATATAAAGTTTTCGGAAGTGAACGAAACTATGTATATGTATATATATATAGAAAACAGGATCACTATGTCTATACTACCCTCAAGGGGAAATTGTAAAATCGACCGTAAAACTGTTCTTAGATTTTTGTCAGGAATATTGTAATACCTACTGTCTCCCGTTATGGTAGTAATGAATATATCAAATTCGATAATTCCCGCGGGTGAATATACTCGATGCACGAAACCGATTTCAAAACTATCTCGATATTATTCCTATGTTCTGTGTGTGTAGGAAATGGTCGATTCGCGCGTGAATGTATATTTTTGTATCGTTTAGCACGACAAACTCATAAAGGATAAATCGTGATAGGAAAAGTGTTATTTTATCGATAGACACCTTTACAGTCGTCATTCTCTCTTTTCTTTTCTTTATTTCTTTTCTTTATTTCTTTTCTTTATTTCCATGCGAATTATTATTACGAATCTAAACGTTTATTTTCAAGCTACGACGACGTTTTCTTTATAACTTCCTTTTTTTTTTTATTTATTTTTTCTTCAATTGATTCCACCGAGAGTGAGTGATTTTATTGGGGGGCTAGTATTTGATTTTTTTAATATTTTTTTTTTTTGTATAGGTGTAATTCGTGTTTATAATAAAATATTTATGTTTTACTGTACAGCATTAATACGATTAGCATTTTGTATTAATTTGTAGTTTTAATGTGTAATATTTTACAAAATATTAATTATATAAATAATAGAATATTTCAATGAAGAAGAAAAATGGTACCATCATATATGATGGATATTCTTTTTTAAAATAGATTTGAATGAGTGATGTTTATTGGATTAATATTTTAACAATATATTTTTTAATATTTATGATACAATATTAGTACGTTACTATAATTAATACATACATTACACTATCATTTAAAATCAATGTTAAATATTTATAACAGAATATCAAACTTTGATGAAACCCTACTTTAATTATAAACACAAACTTATAATTTACGTAAATAGCAAAAGATTTTACAAAATACCGACCCAAGAATAAATAAAAATAGATTTTAATAGTGCTAATAAGATTATAAACAAAAATAAGAAAAATGTTAAAATAGAGGAAGGTGTCGACAAATATAGGGTGATATTATTTTTGGCTAAAGTATTACTACTAGGCCATAAGAGAAAGAGAGAAACGGAGAAAAGAGTAGAAAGAAAGATAGGAAATAGTGCAACGAGCTCGTTTAAGCGAAAGGAAAGTGCCTTAGGACAAACTAATATCGATGTAATAATGCCTAAAGTTTTCCACGAGTACTAAACCTGCCGCTAGTCTTCTTTTTTTTCCCATAGTTCTCTTTATACCTATTATATTTATAAGAAGGAAAACGGAACATGCATACATACACACCCCCTACACCCCCGAACTTACATACATATATAAATATATACATACATTCATATACGTATGTACGGTACGCACATATACATATTTATATATGTATATAGTATGTATTAAGTTGAATCGTAACACGTACATTTATATTTTACATTTATGAACAAATCGAAGCGTCCAGTTGTGTTTCAGTGGCACCTGCATCGACGATTATGTATTCTTTTCTTTCTCACTTTCTTACGTACTTTCTTTAAATGCTTTCTTTCTCGTACTATTTCATTCTACCCGTGCTCATGGACGATAAAGAAAAGGCGACATTAAAAATAACCATTCTATAGACTCTGCCTATTAAACCACCCACGTTTTCTCTCTGTGGTCTCGCCTTACGATCGCGTATCTCTCTTTATTCCTTTCTATCTGTTTATCTACCCCTCTCTCTCTCTTTCTCTCTCTTTTTATTTTTTTTTATTTTCTATCTTATTCTCTCTTGTTCTCTCCATCTCAAAGCCATTTTAAAACCTGCTCGTCCAGTAGACAGGATGGACTTTTCTCTTTCCATCTACTCGTTCCATCATGGAATTTTTCGAAATTTTCAAAGATCGAACCACCATCTCTGTGTACACAAACACATACATACGAGTATAATATACAATATTACATAGAGACAAAGACGAAAATAATAACGTATCGTGAAATCGAATAAATTCGCATTTGTTATGCAAGAAATAACAAGATTTTCGTTTAGTTTAAAATTATCTCGAATCAATTTTTCGATTAGATGATAATTTTACATTTTTGGATATATCTAAATATTGTTTTCCTCTTCTCTTTTTTTTTCTCGATCGAAAGATAAGTTTATTAATATGATACAAAAATAAAAATGAATAAAATGAGAGCAACTCCTGTCAACGAGTTAATTTATTAAATAATAATAAAAAGAAAAAAGAAAAATAGAAAAGATTGTTTTACCTTGTGTGTTTATAATTATAACATTGGTACATATCTTCTTCTCTATTTTGTGGGTATCACAAATAAGTATCGGAAAATAAATCAGGGGAAAGTTTAACGAGCGTGAAATAGGATGGACGACGAACATATAAAACATAAGATTTAAAATGACTGTCTCGTTTGAAAGTATGTATATAGATATATGATAATTCAAGAGATTGTATGTATAATATATAATACACTTATATATACTTACATATACAATCGATTTACAAAAAAAAAAGAAGCTCTAATCGTGAATAGTTAAAGCTAAAAAAAAGAAGGAAATAATAAAATGAATAGAAAAAGAAAGACACACACATACACACGCAGAGAAAGAAAAAGAGAAAGATAAAAAGAAATATAAAATTGAAATAAGCAAAGTTCAAATCATAGTTCATCTTTTAACGATCTTGCTTCGTCAGGGTAATACCGATGACGATGTCTCTTTGAATCCGTAAAATAAGAAAGAGAAAAACGTGTAAAGTCAATTTCGTTTCTTCGTATAACGAGGTCGACCTTCGTGGTCTGTTCTATGTTCAAAGAAATAAAACAAAAATAAAAAAAGAGAGAGAAAGAGAGAGAGAGAGAGAGAGAAAGAGAGAGAGAGAGAGAGAGAGAGAGAGAGAGAGATAGAGAGAGATATGTCGATGATTATTATAAGCAACACTATAGCAGTGACTCGTAATACGGGACCCAAACGTTGCTGTAGGTCCACAACTTCTTTCTCACTCATCTGACATTTTCTTTCTTTGTATGTTATTTTTATCTTGCTCTCTCTCTCTCTCTCTCACTCTTTTTAGTTCTCTTATTCATTCTTTCTTTCTTTCTTGTCCTAACGGCTATAAAAAATGATTCTCGCGGCGAAAGACATGTAAATTTATGAAGGCCCAACCAGTCGGGCCCCCCTTTTACACATCCGTCCCATCCGTGCCTCCCAGACACGCATGCATTGTTATGCTAACAATTAATTAATGTCGCTTTAATTGTACCTCAACGATTCCCCTGGTATCTTCTCTCTTTTTCTTTCTTGCTTTCTTTCTTTCTTTCTTTCTTTCTTTCTTTCTTTTCTAACACTTCCTATGTTCTTTCCTACGATGCCCTTTAGCTACTAACGTCAGTCACGTTAGTCCTCGTTAGAATCAACAGCCCTTTGTCTCATATGTACGCATTATTATATTTTCTCTTTTATGTTTTTTTTTTTTTTTTTAATTACAGAAAATTAGAAATAATTCTTTTGTTATTGATCAGAACATTTGCATAATATTGTTCATTATTCTATTTCAAAGGTATAGTTTGAGTATTGTTGAATTAATAGTTCGTGAAGTCTATTGTCTTTTATATATATTTAATGATTTATTATTTTTTTTTTATTTATTAAAGGGAGTTAAAAATCACCCTTTGGTTGGGACGTTATTTTCTAATGCTGAATTTAAAAAAAAAAGTATTTGTAATAGAACATTAAACGTTTCTTTTTTTTTTAACTTAATATTTTTGTATGTAATTTTAAATTTAATATAATTTAATAATAATCTTCATTAATTACCAATAATAGTAATAATAATTTATATTAATTACCAATTGTTCTAACGACAATATTTTTTAGTTGCATTTAATTTTTAAAGATACACACAGGATGACAAACATTTCGTTATTTTTTAATATTAATTTTTAATCTGTAATTTTATCTAAAAAATTGAAGTGTAACCACCACTCACTTTATTGTTATATTTATATATCATTCGTTTTATTACCATATGTTTTTTGTTTGAAAATAAATTAGTAATTTATTGATAGGTAATATGTAATTAAATGACACACCAAAATAATAGGATGATTAAATCATAGGTAATAATTAGAACGTTTAATCAAATTTCCGTGAAAATTATACATCCTTGTCTTTATATTCATTGTCATTGTTGTACTTAACCATGACGAAGATTTAAATTATTCATCTCGTTGCATGAAAAAGATACGAATGAATAAGAACGAGGAAAGTGTTAGTTATTATCTTCTTAGTAATGTAAATGAGACTCGTTTAATTGGTTTCTCTTGTATATCTAGGCTTTTCCAATCAATTATCCATCTTCTTTGTAAAACCGTTGATTGCATCTGCCAATACAAATTTATTTGGAATTGAACTATCGATCATTTCTTTAATTATCATTAAAGTTGAAGGATAATGATTGTCATTTATTATTAAAAAAAAAAAAATGAATTTTTTTCCTTTCATTTATATTTTATCGATTAATTTAAAATCGTCTCGAACCGATCTTACTTTACCGATCGTATTTTTATTTGGTTTTTTTTTCTGTTTTAGGATCTAAATGAGAAGAGGGAGAGTAGATGAATTCTACTATCTGCATTCTTGGTAAGTCATTCAACATTAAGAATATATTTATAATAAACACACATTTTGAACACGCATATATACAAAGAGATAAAAAGAAAAAAAGAAGTGGAACCAGTTGAATAAAAAAAAAATCAAACAAAAATTACCAATGATATACACTTTACATCGATTCTCAAATATACCATAGCGGATTACAAATGTCGTCTGTTGCATCGATGGTGGTGGTGGTGGTGTTAGTGGTGATTGTAATATCGTCGAGAGAATCGTTTTGAGAAAAAGAAAAAAAGAAAATTCAAATATCGACTGACCGACACGTTGGATACGAGGACGCGTCAGAATTCGTGTAAAATTTAAATATCGAAAAGAGAAACGATGCATTATAAACGACCCGTGCGAGAAGAAAGAAAGAAGAAAGATGCCATAAAAAAAAAAAAAAATAAAAAATAAATAAAAAACGAGAGTTCGTCGTAGCTAAATAAACACACACACACACACACATATATATATATATATATATATAAGGACGAGCACAAACTTTTTCTTCGATAAGTCTCGGTATTTTTTCAGAATAAGAAACGAAAAGAAGAAACAGAGTTTGTTTCTCTGTTCGTGTGTGTGTTATTCGTGTATGTGCAGAAAAGAAGGATAGAAAAAGAGAGAGAAAGAGATAGAAATAAGTAAAAAAAAAGAGATAGAAAGAGAGTGGTGGTGCTGGACTGCCTTCTCTTCCCCATAAATACGGATTTAGTCCTGCGGTTTACGAGCGAAAACGTGTCGAGCTTCGCGAGCATACCCCGTGCCTAAATTATTAAAGTCGTAAACGATCGAAATCGTCGTTAAGCGGCGCGCGAAGAAACCCATCGGTGGTACTCACTCTCTCACACTCTCTCTCTCTCTCTCTCTATTTCTCTCTCTCTCTCTTGGTTTCGCGTCCTCTCGACGGATCGTTTTTCTCCCAGTTTCATTGTTAGCTTCGGTCCACGTTAAAGGTAGATCCGATAGTCTTCACACACACATGCACACATATATACACATATCACTACCACTATCATCACAACCACCACCACGATTTCTACGATGGATTTCTAAGAACGATCTGAACGAAATAAAGAAGATACATGTAGAGTGAGTGAGTTTGTGTGTGTGAGAGAGAGAGAGAGTGTCTTCTTAGTACTGTATTCTTATTCAAAGACTACTTAATCCTGTCGACGACTATCCTACTCTACTCTAGTCGTGACAACGCCATTTTCTTGTCTACATGACGTCAAATCGTCGTCGTCATTTATTCTTCACTTAACCAACGAACATTATTTAATATATGATAAAAGGGGGTTAGGCAAGTGTTAGTATATTCATTTTTATTCGTTTCATTTTTCATCTCTATTATTTTATTATTTAAATAATTTATTACGATAATTTTATATTATGGAAAAATTTGTCTACAAAATAATTAAGTGTTAAGCATATATAAATACATCCGAAGAAAACATTTGTTTAAAAATATTTATTCCATAAATATTTGTATAAATGATAAAAGTAATTGATTGAATGTGAAACAAAAAAATGAACAAAACAAAAACGTTCCATTTACGTATCATTTTAGTTTTCGGTTCATTCATTATTCACCTAAATCCCCACCCCTTTTGTGTGTTAAATAGGTGTGCTATAAAATATAGGAAATATATTTCGATTCGATAAAAATATGACTGAGTACTGTTAATAAAACAGAAAAAAGGAACACGTAAATTATTTATTTCTTCGTATGAAAAAAGAAAAAAGAAAAAAAATATATATATATTTATAAAGATCGCATTTAATCGCAAAGTTTGGAAAGCATGAAACCCTATGGTTGATTAGAGTAGTCGTTAAAAATGGCGTGACGAGTTCGCGAGTGGTTCTTAGATTAAATTCTCTTATACTCATGCGCATCGCGTTTCGTCGCAGTGTAGTACTTCTCCCACCCCTTTTTTCCTCCTCCTCCACCCCTCCTCTCTCTTTCTCTTTCTCTTTTTCTCTTCTCAAAGATCTATATAGGTGGAATAATTTATCTAATTGCAGCGCTCGGTTCGCGCCACGCGAACGCTCCTCGTTCGCTACCGTGATGATTCTTGTACAACAGAAAGAGAAAAAGAGAGAAAGAGAAAGAGTGAGGGTGAGGGTTAGTAGGGGGAGAGGAGGGACCGGCTTCCTTTCGTCGATGAAGGAGGTAGTAGCCTCCTTACTTTGTAATTTATCGTTCTCTTCTCCTTTTTTCGTTCTTCTTCAACGTTCGAGGGGTATTCCGCATTAAAGATTTTCTTCGCTCGTTGCAGTAGAAAAGAAGAGAGGAAGAAGAAGAATAAGAAGAAGAGAAAGAAAAAAAAATAAATAGACTTATGCACACAAACACAGACATATATATATATACACGTGGTTAAATACATGATAAACCACATATACACTTTTATATACATATATTTTGATAAATACTAATACACGTAAATAAATACATGATCGAATATAGAATAGATGCACAGATATGTACAATTGTATATATGTTAGTTGCATTAAGTAAACGAATAAGATTGTATTGGTGAATAGAGAGGATGTACATTAACATTAACTAATACACGTATAAATAGGAAAGATTTGAAGAAAGAGAAACTTAGGATTGCGTGTAACTGTGCGATATATGCGATCTATAGCACTACTTATATTAAAGGGGAAATATGGAAGGAGTAAGATATAGGGTGAATAAGAGGAAAGTGCTTAATTCGTCCGCAAACGGCCTCTCTAATTCTCAACGTATAGAAGGATAGATAGATAGATGGATAGATAGATAGATAGATAGATAGATAGACAGATAGATAGATATGCATGTATGTTGGTATTGGAAAGAGGACAGTAGTCGAGAACTCTTATTTGAGATCGATAAGACGATTTATAATACACATATACACACACACACGAATGTGTACACTCACTAACATTTATTTCATTTTTTTTTATCGTCTAATTTATTTAATAAACTCTCACCGTGTAGTAATTTTTTGTTGACACATTTGTCAACGATTAAAAATTATTTTTTATCAAAATAATATTTATCTGTATAATAATTTATTTTTTATATTTATTAGAATTAATTATAGATATAATTATTTAAATTATAAAAATATAAGAATAAAATCTTAAAATAAGATTATTTTTTCGCGATGGGGTTTAATTTATTTAGTAAACTCTTACCGTGTAGTAATTTCTTTTTTGTACATAAAATTTGACACATTTGTCAATGATTAAAAATTATTTTTAATAATTTTATGTTTTATTAAAATAATATTTATTTTTTATATTTATTCTAATTAATTATAAATATAATTATTTAAATTATAAAAATATAAAAAAAAAAATAAAATTTTGAAATAACTTTATCTTTTCACGATAGTTTTTTTATTTTGTATTGTTAAATAAATTTAATTTATTAATTATTTCTTTTTAATAATATTTTTAAGGGATATACACACACAATTTTACACTTGACGTGTCATTTTTAATTAAAATCATCAAAAATAGTCGCATTATCGATGATTCGTTCTTCTCATATTTTTTTGTATTTTCTCTCTCTTTTTCTCTCTTTCTTTCTCTTCCTTTTTCTTCTTCATCTTCACCACCACCACCACCTACGTTGACGAGAACGTCCTGATTTACGAGCAAGAAATGATCTCCGTGCTCGTTCCGCTCGTTTCAATGCTCAACGTTCAAGCGAACGTTCCAATTTGCATCCCCCCGGCTTCGCATTAGCAACAAAATTGCGAAGGAAAGTTCTTATTCGCGTTTTAAAGGAATAAGATCGTGATATCATCTTGATATATCATCGAACGTTGTGATATTTATAATATAATATATAAATCTATTTTAAAGGAGACAAACTTTGTATATTTATCTTTTCAAAACTTTATATCATGTGACTTTCTTTCTTTTTCTTTTTTGGTATTTTTTTGAAGCAATGAAAAATAAATGTTACAGAAATAAAATGATATAAATTTATAAAATTTTTATATAAAAAAAAAGAGATAGAGAGATAGTAGAAATAAGAGAGAAAAAGAAGGAATAAATTTAAAAAAAAAAGGAAGAAATAAAAGATAGAAGATGATATTACGAACAACGTATCCACATAGCAGGGCATTAACAATAAGAGGCTGACTGTAAAGAAGCGAAAATCAATTTGCAATTTAAATCTCAACTTATGTATCTGTGTTTGTGCATGTCTCTTCTGTTGCGCTTGCTGGTTGCCTACCTGATTGTCTGCGTGTATGTATGAATGTATGTATGAACGTAGCCGCAGGTCATTCGATTTCCTAGATCACCGTTGATGCTGTTGCACGAGAGATGATTTCACTGCGAGAGAGCATCGATCGATTCGATAACGGGCGTGTCGACGTTTGCGATAGATCGAACCGAGATCGAAAGTCTCTCTTCGATTGCATTGGAATTTTATCGAGGTTTCTGACCCGAGTACAGTTCAGTTTCCTTTTCCTTTTCTTTTTCTTTTCATTTTTATTTAGAAATTTTATTCTTACGATCGAACTCTATTATAATATTCTTTTTTTTACTTTTACTTTTTTATATTATAATATTAATTTTGATTTATACGTTAAATTTGTTGAGTTGGATGTTAAACTGATATTAAAAAAAGAACAAAAAAAAAATTTAAGTACTCGGGTACAAATTCTTTTTCATGGGAACAAAGTGTACTACGTTACGAGGGATCAAAAAAAAAAACGTGTTCAAGGACTCGTACTAATTTCTTCTACATAGATATTCCCTCTTAGAAAACAGAGACACCTTGATCCCCGTATTAAGAGAGATTTCGAGGGCTCCGATCGTGGAAACTTTATCTTGGGAAGCTTGAGAACTTTCACACACTTACAATGATTTTTATAGGAGTATCGTGTTCATATTTTTTTATCCTTAAATTCGAATTTTAATCGATCATTTTATTTATAATATAATTTTAGGTAATTATAAAATTCCTAGTTAAT